AGCAGCATGAACATAACTCATTGCAGCCTCAAGGTGGACTCAAGCAATCCTCCCACTTCAGCTTTTCTAGTAGCTGGGACTACAGGTGTGTACCACCACCCTTGGCTATTTTTTAAATTTTCTGTAGAGACAGGGGTCTTGCTATGTTGCCCAGGCTGGCTTTGAACTCCTGGCTTTAAGCAATCCTCCTGCCTTGGCCTCCCAGAGTGTTGGGATTATGGGCATGAGTCACCTTGCCTGGCCCATTCTTTTTGTTTTTAGAAGAATGTTCCCACCATCTACAATGTGGGCTGTACCAGGAATGATAAAGTATACAAAGATGGTGCCTGGACTAGCCTGTCTACCCCTGGAAAGGAGGCATTTTTTTCTGCCTCTGAAGGCAAAAAGAGATGGGAAATATACAGGTTACTATGAATAAATTGCCCAGAGCCTGTTGAAAACCAATTATAAAGTGCTTTTCTATGCTAAATGAGTTGTCCACCAGAAAGCCAAGCAGAGTGGGGGAGTAAAACAAAGCTTTTTATTAATTGAAGTAAACCTAATCACATCATGTCCTTTGATAATAAAGATGTTATTATTTTCCTAAAGTCTCTGGAGTATTATGTGCTATTTGTGTGTAGGTTTCAGGAGTTGAGGGGATTTCTTACATGGTATCATCCTTAATCTCCCATTCTTTGCCTCTTTTTGTCTCAGTTTCCCTGTAGTCCTCATTTCCCAGAATTGAGAGACTCAAATGATCAAGCAGTAACCACTAGGGCAGCAGTAGTGCCTGTGAAAATAAACAAAGCCTATTTCTTTCCTGGCTTGCTATAGCAAAGAAACCAGCCACCATCCATTGCCTTTTTCAGAGACTCAAAGACAGTCAGGGGAATGGGAGCGAAGGTTTTAGGTATGCCCTGATTGAGGTTGTTGTGTGGGGAAGCTGTAAACCCACTGATTAGAAGGAGGGTTAATCATGTGGCTGGCTTGGGGAGCTTATTTGACTTTCTAGTTGATCCTAAGTTGGAAGTGGAAAGGGGGTGGAGTGGGGAATTAGAGAAGCTGCCAGTTATTGACTGGGTCCTGATGGTTTGGGGTTGGATGCTGCAGATGGCTGTGAGTCAGAATTCTATTGTCACATATGGTGTGACTATTATCTGTTTGTATACTTAGTCTCTCCCATCCCTTCTTATTCCCTTACAGGCAGGGCTAGGATACCTATAAAGCTGGTGAAGACCTGGGGCCTCCCCAGCAGATAATGGGAAGGAGTAGTTGATAGGTTGGGTTCTAAATTGGACCACAGAAATGCAGAGGAGTTTCCCAAAGGACACTAGCTGGTTGGAAATAAAGAGAGGATGAGGGTGTCGCTGTCTTCGATGCCATAGCACCCTAGATCCATCGAGTCCTGCAGGACTTGGCACTGGAACTCCAGCTGCTGCTTCCTCTTAGGCAGTCCCTGCTTGTCTTTAATCTGCTGTTTCAGACCCAGGATGAAGCTGCTGGGGTCGATGGCATAGGCATCGCTCCCGCCATCAGGATTCTGCACGAAGACCTGGATCTCAGGGAAGACGGTTTCCAGCAGACAGATGTAGACGTCAGAGAAGATCCCGTAACTGGCCAGGGAGCAGCGACTGTTGAGCTGCTGCCTCTTGCCGCTGGGTGCCTGGAAGGACAGACGCTGCTGTCCTGAGTAGCCCCGACTTCTCCGGATTTTCTCTTTAATCTTCTTTATGGAGTCATAAGGATTCACCTTGAGGGTCAAATCTGGGTGGCCCCACTGCTCCACGGTCACCACGATGTCCCGTGCCCTCTGGAAGGGAGGGGGGGTTAAGTCCATACATCTCTGTCTGAGGTGAAAAAGATCCCTTCACTCCACATCTTTCAACATCAGCAGCAGCAGTGGCGGCAAATGTCTAGGTAGTGTCAACCACTTTCCGGGCTCCATGCCGGGCACCTTCCATATTCTTAATGCATTTTATTCTCACAGCAGCTCTAAGAGATTGGTTCTACTATGATCCCCATTTTACAGATGAGGAGGCTGTGATTGAGCACGGTTAAATAATTTATGAACATCAGTCACAAAGGTAGGGAGCAGAGCAGGTATGTAAAGTGAGGTCAGTGAGACTCCAAATTCTGTGTTATCATGGCTTCTGGAGGTAACACTCCAGGGTAACTGGGAGATGCCAGACAGGGCGGGGCCTCTAGCCAATCCTTTCCAGAAGGAATACGAGTAGAAGCCCAGCATTGCCACATTTGACTGGTCAAGATAAAAACCTCTGCACAACAGTTTTTATAGTCAGGAAAAATCCAGAGGTATATACTCTTCAGCTTATCTGTGGGTCCCCCCATTTGGCTGGTGGGTCCACTGTTTTTAATCTCTGTACTTTATGATAGAGCCTCTGATTCTCCTTCTTCCTTCTGCTCCAAGTAGACCAGGCTCTTGTTCCTGTACACACCTTGCTTATTATCATCACCTCCCATCCTTACCCCTCTGTCCCTGGCCTCGACCTGGTATGTCCTCCTGTTCTGAGCATTTATATCCCTCTTGGACTTTAGGATTCACCTCAACCACTAGCTCCTTTAAGGAATCTTCTCTGGTAACTTCAAATAAAATATATTCTCTCTCTGTTTAAATTACATTAAAAATTTTTTTTAGACATGGAGTCTCACTCTGCCACTCAGGTTGTAATGTAAGTGGCATGACCAAATGCCTGGGATCAAGTCAACCTCCTGTGTCAGCCTTCTAAGTATTTGGGTCTACAGATGTGCACCACCATGCCCAGCTAACATTTGTTCTCTGTTTCTGGAGCCCTCAAATGCCAGGATATAAATCCCAATTCTGTTGCCTCTTAGCAGTATGACCTTAGTTAATTACCTTAACCTCTCGGAGCTTCTTCTGTAAAATGGCAATGATGGTAATAATAATAATAAAGACAATGATAGTACTCAACCTGCCTACTTGACAGAATTGCCTGCGAGAATCAACTAAGACAGCTCCTGGACAAGCACTTTTCAAATAATGCAGTGTGGTGTGAATAAGATAGATGATATGATCTTTACCTATACCAGAGATTTGGCATCACATACTAATATTACTTAACATTTTGTATCTTCTGTGTATCCTGTCTTCTCTGGTAATTCCTTCTAGCAGTTTTGTGCAAGTTTATTTCATGGACTGGCTTCCTAACAAAACAGGATGAGTTCCTTGAGGGTAGGAGCCATGTCCTATTTCTGCTCCTATACTGCCCCCTGGCCCCCACCCCCACCAGCCCCAAGCTCAGCACTGGAACAAAACAGCTGATTGAGTCGATTTGACTGGGCTCAGCTCACGCAAAGAATGATCTAGGCAGGGAACTGAGTCTCCAGTAAATTATGGGGAAAAGAAAGAAAAGTAGAACAAGAACTTAAAGATAAGAAAACTGAGGTTCAGAGAGCCAAATAATTTTCCCAAGTTCACAGAGCTGGTAGGTGGTGCAGCCGGGTCTCAGACTGACACTAAAGTTCTGTTCTCCATCAGCACAGATGTAAATAAGTAAATATTTATGTGTCAGAAAGCAAGAGGTTAATTTGGTCAGATTTGCCTGCCCCACTTGCTTTTGGTTGCTTGCTTTTTGTTATTTTATTTTATTTTATTTTATTTTCCCATGAAGCTGAAGGCCATTGTAGCTGAAGGCCTTGTCACTGAGTGCTGAACTTAACCTTCACTGGCTACTTTAGAGCTAATATTCGCAGGGCACCATGGTAATGGTTGCTCCAGTTGCTTTTCTTTTTCTTTTTTTTTTAAAAAAACAACAGAAATGAGGTCTCATTATGTTACCCAGACTGGTCTCGAACTCCTGGGCTCAAGCAATCCTCCTGTCTCTGCCTCCTGAAGTGCTGGGATCACAGTTGCTTTTCAGGAACTTGGAGCAGCTCCCGCCCAGCTTCATCTGACCAAGACCATTGACCCTATAACTGGGTCTGCATGCATGCCCGAGAGGTGGCCTTTGATGTCAGAGGGCGCAAAACTCCACCCTCAGATCATGCTAAAGCTGGCATTTTTTGTACATAATTTCTATGAAATGCCATGGACCCTGACTATGCTTCCATAGAATGAACCTGGCACTTCATTTTTCTCCACTGCCAATCACCTTTCCCCATGCCTTAGACCACCCCACTTCCCTAAGCCATAAATACCTCAAACTCTTATCTTCAGGAAGGTGAATTTGAGAGCTGTTCTTTCACCTCCTCACTTAGTGCCCTTGCTAATAAATCTTTTCTCCGTAGCAAAACCTGTGTCACAGTGATTCATTTACTGTGTGTGGGCAGAATGAACTTGGACCTGGCCAGTGACACACTTATCTCATTCTAAGCTTCAAGCCCCTGACAGCCCGGAGAGGAGCCATTACCTTCACATTCCAGCTGGGGACCGGGTTCTCCCTGTTGTCATAGCAACAGTCCTGTTTCAGGCACTGGCAGGCCCTCTCAGCGACAATGTCCCATCTGTACCCTTCTGCCACATTGTGGGTAGGGTCAGCTGGATCCAGGATGATGGGCCTGCAACAACAGGGAGAGGGGGCCCAAACTCTTAATGGTTTGGAGGCCTGCAAGCCAGAATGAAGCTGTCTATTGCTGCCTCTGAGCATCTGCTATGTCCAGAGTCCAGGGCTGTCAGTCCAGGAAGGCCCCAACACATCGCTGGAGAGTAACAGGATGGAGACCATTGTATTTCTAAGAATTCCCCTTGGGAAGGGTGCTCTGGGTGTTCGCAACAAATTTTGAGGGAGGAGTGAGGCCTCAAGGCCTACTGGAACAATGACAGATGCCCATTAAGGTAGAGAGGCCTTTTAAGTTCAGAGCAGACTATACACGTTGGAGGTTAGAACTACGAATGGCTTTGGATGATAGAAACAACACCCCCAACAACTACTGACATTTACTGAAGCACTGAGCTAAACCCTGTGTGAATGAACCTATTGTGATTCTTACAGTAATTCTATCTGGTGGGATTATTATTGTTGCTGTTGTTGTTGTCATCTCCATTTTACAGGCAAGGAAACTGGGGCACAAATTTCCCCAAGTTTTCACAGCCAAAAGATGGTGTTCTTACTCATCTATCTCCTCAATAGAGAAGAAGTTTGCCTGCCTCCAAGTGTCTCTCCTTGTTATAATTGTTGACTGGCTATATTAAAGAATCCTGGCTTGAAAGAGGTCTCATAGACTGCTTGGACCATGTGGAATCACTGCATGTGTTGGATGCCAAGCCCATGATTGAGATCCAGCCTTTATGCTATAGGAGTTTTTGGCTTAGGAAGGAGCTGTGACTTTATCTATGTGATAGAATGTGATACAGGCTATTGCAATGAACTGGACACTTTAGGCACCAGGCTTGCTCCCCCTAACATCTCCTGCTCCCTGAAATAATCCTGCCTGAAATAGGGAGTGGCACCAGGCTGTCCTAAGGGGTGAAATCACCTGACACAAAGTGGCTCATTCTGTTGACTGGCAGGTGACTCACCAATGATCAGACTGGTTTCCTCTAAGATTTGGGTACAGGGATGATGGAGGTCCCTTACCAACTGGGAGGCAGAGTGGAAACAACAAGTGTGGAGAGAGAAGCAGAGGGTAAGGGGAACGAGCTCATGGAGGGGACAGAGAGGGAAAGAGAGGGAGAGAGAGAAACTGAGACTCTCAGGTCCTGATGGTTTCCCAATTTCAATTTTTATGGGTATTCTTATAATAAATCCACTTTCATTTTCTTTCTTTTTGAAGTGACATAGCCTCAAGATTTTACTCTTTTCATAATTGAACAAAATATGACACTTAGAACTGGGTCACTTGGCCTTTTCTCGTCTTCTTTTTTTTTAAGCAGAATTTATCGAGAGGACATAAAAGCTCCCACAGTGGGAGGAGACCAGGAGGGGTTGCCTGGCTTTTTCTCTTATCTCCTCCCAGTTCAAAATACCGCATCTCTTAAAAGTCAGCATTTCCTTAGATCTGCAGCGGGGATCAATGCACTCAAGCCACAGCACAATATTGGTAGTTTTAGGCTTTTTCTGGAAAATCAGCTTAGTCTGCCCACCATAGCCACTTTGCTGCCTGTCATGATGCTGCTTTCCCTGGGCATACAGAGAATCTTTGCCCTTCTTGTACTGTGTCACTTTGTGGGGTTGGTACTTGCCATACTTCTTACAGAAAATCTGGTGGGTTTTAGGAACGTTCACCAGACAGCATCTTCAACACACTGGGGAAAGATTAACCTGAACGTTTCCCAGTCCCCTCCCCCATAAATCTTCTTTTCATAAGGAGACCTGGTTTTCCTTCCTTGCAAAAAGAGACCCAATGCTCATGTAACAAAACATTAAAAATTATTATGATATTGCTTGCACTGGCCTAGTACTTCCAACATAAACAGCTGTCTAGGCTGGGATCCCCCAGAAGCAGATCTTTGGACAAAGATTTGGTTTATTGGAAAGGAGATCCAGGGAGCACTAATAAAGGAGTGAGAAAGTGAGTGAGGGACGAGAAGGCAGCCAATAAAGGGCGAGTGTCAAGGTGATTGCCACTGTGGTCAACTAGAGGGGATCTCTGGGAAACAGCATGGAACAGGGTCTCAGGGTTTTTCCATCTCAGGGGAGAGAGAGCTGGGGTATTTATCCACTGTCTCTCACCAGATTTGGTGGCAGGCTGCTCTCAGAGTGTGTCTTCTGGTGAGAGGAAAACTCTAAGGTAAAGGGACACAGGTGCTGACAGTTGGAAGTTGAGCCAGCCTTCCTGAAACAGTAAAGGCCAAGGGGATATGAGTGGGGCATTGACAGCATGTGCTTCAGAAGTGAGCATTTATGTAGCATCTGCCAGATGCTAGAGACTGTAGACCCTTAACATATATTTTCTCTGATTCTCACAACAGTCCTGCATCATAGATGTGACCAGCTATCTCCTGTTTTACAGATGAGGAGTTGAGGCTCACAGTGGTGAGAAAATGGGCTAGCTGGGATTTAAATTCAAGTCTACAAGATTCTTTCCATTTTCTCTTACTATCTCTAAAAAGCACGGAAATAGTCTTCCTAGAGCAAGAGGGTGGGTTGTGGCTTAGGGAACAAGGAAAAGTCTTATCCCCCCACCACCCCCACCCCCAGCAACCTTTATTTAGGTCACCAACTCAAGATGCCAATTGTGTTGGTATGATACTCTGGCAGTCTTATAGTAAAGGCTAATAAAGTCAACTAAAAATTCGAATAAAGTCAACCCATAAAAACTCTATACCAGTCGTTTCCTTTACTTCTCTTTCTTATTTTTGGTGGGTAAGCTGTGGCCCAGTACCTCTCTTTTTTGAGCTGTTTTTTGACAAAGTCCTCAATGACTGGATTCTGAAATGTGTAGTACTTGGTCCAGTAGATGCAGATGAATTCATATTCCTGAAGCAGTTCCATCACAGTGGTGAAGGCTTCATCCAACAAGAAAGTCTCATCCATCTGAGTACCCATTTCCCAGGCATAGATGGTCAGTAGCTCGAGAGCATAGAGAGGTGGAAGACTGGCCCTGGGGCACCTGGCCTTCACGCACTGTTAAAAGAGATGGGAAGAGATGGCAAGAAATCCCAAGATTTGGTGTAAGGATGGTGTTGGACCAGAAGCTGGGAAATTCAAGTTCTACTCCCAGTTCTGTCACCTACTCGCTGTGTACCTTGGCCAAGTCACTTTCCCTCTCCAGTCCTTGCTTTCCCCATTTCAGAATTAAAGGGCTGGGCTAGACCAGTGAGCTCCAGGCTGTGCTTGACAGACGTAGCTCCTGGAACAGAATTATGAAGAGGTGGCCCAAGGAATGAGTGGGTTTGGTTCTGTCCCACCAGCATCCCAGTCTAATCATCCCCTTTTAAATCTATTTTAATGTATTGAGTTTTTGAGAAAGACTTCCTTCAAAGAAAAGGTTTCTTAGCTAAAGGAAAAAATGGTAATAGGTGAGAGTCTGTAGTAAAGATTAGCATTGCCTCTCTAGCAGACATTCTTTCCTTCCACAATGTATAGTAGCCATGATATTTGCATTGAGTTGACTCTCATCATCAGCTACAGGATGGGCTCTGACTGGCACATGCCTATCAGCATAAATCTTTCCCCCTTGCAAGTGATTGGTTCAAGAGAAGGCATGTAATATAAGTTGGCTCAATTGGATTAAAGTCTGGTTCTTTTGTTCAGTGGTTGGAAGAAGAAAAATCACATGTGTGTGTGAGGGCAGGAACAGCTGTGGCCATTTTGCCATCGTGAGGGAAACAAGTCTGAGGACCAAGCTGACATAGAGAGGAGAGAACAACTGAGAGAATAATAGAGAGACAAAATCAAAGTGCTCACCAGCAGTGACTGAAGACTTCTCCCCAGGAGTTATTACACATGAGCTAATAATTCTCTTTATTGTTTAAGTCAGTTTGAGTTGGTTTTGTGTATTTTTGTTACTTGCAAAAGAAAGCATCTTAAATGACATTAAGATGCTCTAATATTTAGCCAGAAAGTGAAAATTTATGCCAAATATCAAACTGTTTGGTTTGTGGAAGCAAAATGTACAACTTGTCCTGTGGCCATTATCAATAAATATTGGGTCTCATTTCACTGTCAGAGAAAAAGAACTCTAACACTTTGACCTTGAAACAAGCAAACAAACACAGGGTCCACCTTGTATAATTCTAGTCTCCAAATAAATTAAACCTTGAGTCTTTTCTACGGGTCATTGACTCACTAACAAAAACAACTTTAACTATATCCTTGAATTTAAAAATTCATTTTAGAATTCAGATTTATTTATAAATTTAATTTGCTTTTGTAACTTTTTTTAGTTCATACATAAATCTTAATTTTTTGAATCTTAACTAATAAAATCATAATTTTGTAGGAATTTAAACTCATGGCAATACAACTTATTTTTTCCAATAGTAACATTTTACATTCTTAAAACTTAGATGACACACAAAATGTGGGATGCCTCCAATTATTAAGATGTAAGCTCTAGTGAATGAATAAAACATGACTCAACTATATGCTGCCTACAAAAAACTTCACCTGTAAAGACACATATAGAGTGAAAACAAAGGAATGGAAAAAAGTATTCCATGCAAATGGAAACCAAAAGTGAGTAGGAGTAGCCATACAGATAAAACAGACTCTAAGTTAAAACAGTACAGGAGACAAGCAAGGTGATCATACAATGATGACAAGGAAATCAATTCAACATGAAGATGTAATGATTCTAAATATATATGCACCCAACACTAAAGCACCCAGATATATAAAGCAAATATTATTAGGTCTAAAGAGAGGTATAAACTCCAGTACAACAATTGTTGGTAACTTCAACATTCTACTCTCAGATCATCTGGACAGAAAATCAACAAAGAAATCTTGAATTTAAACTGTACTTTGGGCCCAGTGGACCTAACAGACATTTACAGAATATTTTATCCAACAGCTGCACAGTATATATTTTTCTTATTAGCACATGAAACATTCTCCAAGACAAACCACATGTTAGGCCATGAAACAAGTCTCAACAAATTTTAAATTGTTGAAATCATATCAAGTGTCTTCTCTGACCACAGTGAAGTAAAACTAGAACTCAATAACAAGAGGAACTTTAGAAATTGTACAAATATATGCAAATTAAGCAATATCCTCCTGAATGACCATTGAGTAAATGAAGAAATTAAGAAGGAAATGTAAAAAATTCTTGAAACAAGTGGAAACAGAAACACAACATACCAAAACCTATGGAATACAGCAAAATCACTGCTAAGAGGGAAGTTTGTAGCAATCAACACCTACATCAAAAAAGTGGAAACATTTCAAATAAACAACCTAGCAATGCACCTAAGGAACTAGAAAAGCAAGAAAAAACCAGGCCCAAAAATTAGTAGAAGGAATGAAATAATAAAGATCAGAGCAGAGCGAAACAAAATAGATACTGAAAGAAATAAATCAAATAATCAAATAAAAAATGGTTTTATTGAAAAGATAAACAAAACAGATAATTTGCTAACCAAGAAAATAGAGAGAAGACTCAGATAAACAAAATCAGAAATGAAAAAGGAGACATTACAACAGATATCATAGAAACATAAGAGATTATCTGAAACTATCATGAAAAATTATACCCTGACAAATTGGAAAACCTAGAGGAAATAGGTAAAATCCTGGATATATACCACCTCCCAAGATTGAATCAGGAATAAATAGAAAACCTGAGTAGACAAATAACAAATAATGAGATTGAATCAGTAATAAAGACTCTCCCGACAAAGAAAAGCCCAGGAGCAGATGGCTTTACTGCTGAATTCTACCAAACTTATAAAGAAGAACTAACCCCAATTATCAAACTATTCCAAAAAATTGAAGAGGAGGACACTCTTCCTACGTCATTCTATGAGATGAGCATTACCCTGATACTAAAACTAGACAACCCAACAAAAAATGAAATCTCCCTGATGAACACAGATGCAAAAATCCTCAGCAAAATATCAGCAAACTGAATCCAACAACACATCAAGAAGGTAAGGCACCATGATCGAGTGGGATTTATCCCAAAGATGCATGACTGGTTCAACCAATGCAAATCTATAAATGTAATACATAATATCAATAGAATGAACCACAGAAACCATATGATCATCTCAATAGTTGCAGAAAAAGCATTTAATAAATTCAACATTCCTTCTTGATTAAAAACTCTCCACAAACTAGGCATAGAAGAGACATACCTTAACATAATGAAGATCCATATGACAAATCCAGTTAATATCGTGCTGCATAGGGAAAAGCTGAAAGTCTTTCCTGCAAGAATGAGAACAAGACAAAGATGCCCACTTTCGTCACTCTTCTTAAACATAGTCCTAGCCGGAGCAATCAGGCAAGATAAATTTGCACAAACCATCCAAGTTGGAAAGGAAGAGTCAAACTGTCCCTTTTTACAGACAACACAATCTTTTACATAGAAAAGCCTAAAGACTCCATCAAAACACTCTTAGAACTGATAAATGAATTCACTAAAGTTGTTGGATACAAGACCAACATACAAAAGTCAGTAGCATTTCTACACACCAAACACAAACTAGCTGAAATACATATCAAGAAAGCAATTCCTTTTGTAATAGCTACATATATAGAGAAGTACATTTAGCTAAGGAGGCAAGAGACCTCTACAAGGAAAACTACAAAACACTGATGAAAGATCTTGAAGAGGATACAAATGGAAAGATATCCCATGCTCACAGATCCAAAGAATTAACATTGCTAAAATGATCATACTACTCAAAGCACTCTACAGATTCAGTGCAATTCTTATCAAAATACCAATGACATTCTTCAAAAAATAGGAAAGAAGATTCTAAAATTCATATGGAATCACAAAAGACCTCAGATAGTCAAATAAATGCTGAGCAAAAAGAGCAAAGCTGGAGGCATCACACTACCTTATTTAAAAATATACTGCAAAGCTATAGTAACTAAGACAGCCTGGTACTGGCATAAAAACAGACATATAGAGCAATGAAACAGAACAGAGAACCCAGAAATAAATCCATGTGTTTACAGCCAATTTTCAACAAAGGCACCGAGAACATAAATGAAGAAAAAGACGCCAGGCTCGGTGGCTCAGCCTGTAATCCCGCGCCTTGGGAGGCTGAGGTGAGTGGATTGCCTGAGCCCGTGGGTTCAAGACCCGCCTGGGCAACTTGGCGAGACCTCATCTCTACAATAAATCAAAAATTAGCCGGGTGCGGTAGCACGCACCTGTAGTTCCAGCTACTGGAAGGCTGAGGTGGAAGGATCGCCGGAGCACAGCAGGTCGAGGCTGCGGTGGCCGAGAGTGGCCATTGCACTCCAGTCTGGGTGACAGAGTGAGACTCCAACTCAAAAATAAAGAAAAAAGAAAAAGACACACTCTTAAATAAATGGTGTTGGGAAAACTGGATATACATATGCAGAAGTATGAAACTAGGTCCTTACCTCTCAACCCATACAAAAATATATTCAAAAATGAATTAAACACTTAGATATAAGACCTTAAGCTATAAAACTACTAGAAAAAAAATAGGGGAACACTTCAGGATATTGGTCTAGCACAGCAACAAAAATATAAATAGACAAATGGGACTACTTAAACTAAATAACCTTTTGCACAGCAAAAGGAAATATTACTAATTTAATGCAAGAAAATGTTCACAAACTGCTCACCTGATAGGAGACTAATATTCATAATATACAAGGAACCCAAACAATGCAACATACAAACAAACAAACAAACAAAAAACAGATATTGGCAAGGATTTGAAGAAAAGGGAACTCTCATATACTGTTGGTGGGAATATAAGCAAGGGCAGCTACTATGGAAAACAGTATAGAGATGTCTCAAAAAACTCAAAATAGAGCTACCATTTGGTCCGGCAATCCCACTACTGGGTATCTCCCAAAGGGAAATAAATAAATACATCAAGAAGATACCTGAGCTTATATGTTTATTGCAGCACTATTCACAATAGCAAAGACATGGAACCAACCTAAGTGTCCATCAGCAGAAGAATGGATAAAGAATATGTGGCATACACATATAATGGAATATTATTCAGCCATAAAAAAGAATAAAATTGTGTCAACATGGGTGGAAATGGGGGTCATTACATTATGCGAAATAGGTCAAGCACAGAAAGACAAATATTGCCTTCAATATAGTCCCATTTGTTTATTTAACTTCTATGTGGGAGCTAAAAAAGGTGATCCCATGGAAACAAAGAGTAGAATGATAGTTACCAGAGGCTGGGAAGGGTGTGTATCTGTGTGGGGGAAGGGAGATATGAAGGGAGGTTGGTTAATACGTACAAACTTACAGTTAGATAGAAGGAATGAGCTCTCCTGTTTGAAAGCACTAGAGTAGGGTGTAGTAGGGTGACTACAGTTAAAAGTGTTTTATATATTTTAGAATAGCTAGAAGAGAAGATTTGAAATGCTCCCAACACAAAAAAATAAATAAATATTTGAGATGATGGCTCTCCTAAATACCATGATTTGATCATTGCACATGTATATATGTATCAAAACATTATATGTACTTCACAAATATGTAAAAATATTATGTATCAATAAGAGTTGGGTGTTTCTGAGTTGGAATCTCACTCCGTTGCCCAGGCTGGAGTGCAGAGCCATGCTCACAGTTACTGCAACCTTGATCTGCTGGGCTCAGGTGGTCCTTTCACCAAAGTCTTCCAAGCAACTGGAACTACAGGTGTGCACAATCACGTACAGCTAATTTTTTTATTTGTGCTAGAAATGAGGTCTCACCATGTTGCCCGGCTGGTGAATCCCTGGACTCGAATCCCTGGACTCAGGCAATCCTCTCAATCTCACCCCACCAATGTGCTGGGATTACAGGAGTGAGCCACCGTGCCCAGGCTGCTTTTTTCTGTAAATCCCTGTTATATATTTTATTGGACTAAGTCTTTCCTTCTGCAATCTGGTGCCTTTATAACTTTAATGCGATTTTTATTTAACAAATGATTTTTATCGCTGGGTTCATTTTGCTGTTAGAGGTTCCACTGAGATATCCCAGGGGACTTATTTTCAAAAGTAACTAAATTGTAACCTAAGAAATACACTTCATGGCTTGTTTACACCCAGACAAGCCCTCATTTCAACTCCTAGGGTGGAATTAGATAACCCTTTCCTCTTGTTAGTCCTTAGCCTGCTGTGATTAATATCCAAGAGTACACAGTGACAGCCGGGCTTGGTGGCTCAGCCTGCAATCCCAGCACTTTGGGAGGCCGAGGTGAGTGGATTGCCTGAGCCCGCGGGTTCGAGACCTACCTGGACAACTTGACGAGAGCTCATCTTTACAATAAATAAAAAAATTAGCCGGGCATGGTATTGCGCACCTGTAGTTCCAGCTACTTGAAAGGCTGCGGTGGAAGGATAGCCAGAGCCCAGCAGGTCGAGGCTGCAGTGGCCGGGAGCGGCCACTGCACTCCAGTCTGGGCGACAGAGTGAGACTCCAGCTCAAAAATAATAAATAAATAAATAAATAAAAAATAAAACTAAAACAGAGTACACAGTGAAGTTGACATCAGCCATTGAAGTGCTACAAGAACTTGCTTATTGAAATACTGTACATTAACTATGTTTCTCCTTCCATTTCTTGTTCCCATCTTCTTCCTCCTCTCCTTCTCCATCTTCTTCATTGATTGTTTCACTTTACAGTTCAAAAGACTGGCATTCTCTTCTTCTCCCACCCCCATTTCCCACTGATGCACTTTTCTGAGACGATAAATCTGGCCCCTGCCTTTCCTCCCCACCCTCCTCCATCACCCTCCTGCCCTTATCTTGGCAGTCCCCTTACCTGCTGGTACCAGTATTTTACCAGGCGGAGGAGGCTCTTCAGCTTAGTTGGCTGATGTTTCACGAAGTTTCTCTGCAGCTCGCTGAAGGATGGGGAGAAGTGTCCAGGGACACCACAGGCCTCTATCAGACTCACATAGACCTCAGGGGGTGGTGGGGAGTTGGGAACAGAAGGCTCTGAGGAGAGAGGAAGCAAAGGGAGAGATTGGGGATGGAGGAAGCCCTATGGGGATCAGTAGTCTTTGGGGGAGAGACTGCTGATTCATTGGCGTTAGCCCTCCAGGGAGACTTGAGACCTCATGTCTTTATGCATTTCTCTGTGTGACTTTTTAATAAATTTCTGTTTCTCAAGTGGAGCAACATGATGGTCAGAGTTGGGTTAGCCTCGTGCACTGGGGTAGCCCCGCCCCCAGCATAGGACATGGGGAGAATGGATGAGTCCAGGTGTCTGCAGGTGGCCATGAGTGAGAGGTGGGAGAGAGGCATGTTTTCTGGGAAAGGCCAGCATGTAAGTTGGGTGGGCTTTGGAAACCTTGCCTGAATGTCCTTGTGAGAGTCTCACTCTGAAGAATCAATACTGGGCTTTCCATGCCTCAGGCCATTCCAGTTTCCATGCCCCAGGCCACTTCAACATCCCCAGTTTTCCTTAATGTCTACTTTGAATCTCTCAATATTCATGGGGGAGAATCAGTTCCCTGGTACCCATCACCAAGACATTCAAGCACTCTTTCTTGCTAAGACATCTGACACTTTCTCCACAGAGCCACTCCCACAGCCACACGGGAGCTGGCCTGAGAAAAAACCCCTATCATCTGGGCTTGTGGCAGATACGGTTTACTTCAAATACCTAGGAGCCTCTACCTGAGGACAAGCAACAAGTGCTGTGGAATTAATGCCCTGGGAAGCAACCCTCAGCCGATGATGGATGGAACATTGGTGGATAAACACTCCAGCATCCCTCTTGGGATAACATGGAGGCATGCTCCATAAAGTTACCTCAAGATCTCCAGGGGCATGAAGCCCAGTTGCTCAGGGTGGTGACTCGCTCATGATGTACTTTGTACTGAATTCTTCCCTTCTGCGCCTCAGTTTCCTACTTCCTGAGTTTACCTCCCAGAAAAATTGCTTGTTCTCACATCCTTTTCTTAGGGTAAAACCCATATGATGATGACAAACCCCACCTACATAGTAAGTGCTACACAGTAAGAAGCACTTGTGGTTACTATTCCAGCTCCTTCCGCTCATTGGGTCTCGGCTCCTTCTGAATTCTCTTTCCACAGAAAGCCACCTCCTGAGCACCCTTTCTGTGGCTACCCAGGGCACTCCATTTATTCCTCTGAATGCTTACCACCATTTGCAGTCGTGTATTTCTCTGTGTGACTCTTTGATAAATTTCTGTTTCCCAAGGTGACCAACATGATGGTCAGAGTTGGGTTAGTCCCATGCACTGGGGTAGCCTCGCCCCCAGCATAGGACACAGGGAGAATAGATGAGTGCAGGTGTCTGCAGGTGGCCATGAGTGAGAGGTGGGAGAGAGGCATGTTTCCTGGGGAAGGCAAGCATGTAGTTTGGGTGGGCTTCCTTTCCCCTTACCCACGGCTCTGTAGGCAGGCACAATGGTGACTGTGATGGGCTTCCTGGTCCTCCTGGTCTGGATGGTGAAGACAAGCACATCGGGGACTCCCTGGGCCACCCTCGGGTCCTCGAGCCCAAGGGCCAGCAGGTCCTGGCAACGCCACAGTTCTTTCCATATCAGTCTCAGAACGGCTTGGTGGTGCTCGGTCTCCTCCTGGAAGCTGCGGAAGCAGCTCAGAAACACCACCAGCTCCACCTCTGTGGTGCTTCTGAGAACTGTGCCATTCCCAAAGGAGCCCACCTGCAGAACACAGAGCCCGTCACCCCAAGGCCCGCAGTGCCAGGCAGTCCCTGTGGCACTTCACATGAATGATCCCCCTTAAAGCTCACCACCCTGCTGAGGGATAGGTGGGAAGTATTTATACTTCCCTTTACAAGTGAGGAAACCTCACAATGATGAGTCACTCGCTGGGGGCCCCACAGTTTGCAGCTCAACCCTACAGCCAGGCTTCCTGGCCACTGCACTGGGTGCTCCTGAGACTCAGTTGCCTCATCCACAGAGTGATGCCAGCTTCAAAGGAATAGGAGTGTCTGCTCCATGGGGTTGTGTGACGATTCTGGGGGGTCTGAATACTTTCATGACATTAAAAAGGAGTAAGTTTGCCTGGTGGATGAGAGTCATGGCTGCGGAATGGGGCAGCCTGACTTTGATGTGGACTCCTTTCTGTTTCATAGCTGTGTGGTCACTCTGAGTCCTAAGTCTGTAAAATGAAAGTGATCATGGAGTACAAGTCATTGGGCTCCCGGGAGGATCAGACAAAATAATATTTGCAAGACGGGTTTGGTGTGGTATCCGGCACTCAGGAAGTCAGCAATATATTTCTCTTTCTCTTCTTTATCTAGTTGACGTAAACACTTCATTTCTCCATCTGTAATGGAAGGAGCCTGAGCTGGGTTATTTTAAAGGGACATTTCTGATGTTCTGAGAGTCTAGACTTGCTTTCTAAACCCTGATGCCTCTGGTGTACAAAGCCCCACGACTCCCTGGCCTTCCCTCTTTCTAACACTTTGTTAGAGGTAGAATTGCCAGGGTGGCACCCCACCTCAGGCAGGCTACCCTTCCTGGTTGTGTGAGTCACTGTACATGAATTAGAATCCAGCAGTTGCAGGTTGAGCACCTCCCATGCCTGATGCCCCAAAGCCCTTTATGCATATCATCCCACCGATTGAGGTGGGTACTAAGATAACTACCTGCAATGTACAGATGTGAAAACTGAGGCAGTGGGGGGCTGATCAACTTGCCATGGTCTACCAGCTAAGAGGTCGTGGAGTCAGAGAAAGAGTTAGAACACGAGTAGTGGGTGATTCTTCCACCTTTTTCTTCCCATGACCCAAGACTATGAGCCAGGCCTTGCTTCTGGGGGACTGCTGACTTTGAGACTCAGCATTTCCAGCTCACATGAGAGGGCGGAGATGGTGCCCTGTGTGTGGGTGAAGGGCACATTTCCCTGAAATCCTTGTCTAGGCTTTGCTTTCTACCTTTCCTGATTGTGAGATTCAGGCAGACAGGAAAAAACAAATCCAAAACAGCCTTCCTGACTTGCTTCGGTTTAAACTCATTTAAGCCCAATTCATTCAAAGGTAAGCGTTCACTCCTGTGGGCCAGCTCAGCTCACTAGATTTTCAGGGGCTAGGGAAGAGAGCACTTACAGTCTAAATAAAAACATTTTTCCTCATTAGTTGTTGCTCTTTGGGGATTGCTACCATTGAGTGGTTTCCAGGGGACGGGTGGCTATGGTCTGCAGGAAGAATCTGAGGCTTGGGTAAATACCACCTCTTGCCATCAAAACTCATTCTGTGTGTCGCATCCTCCTCTCCCCAGATGCTCCCCATTTTGTCCTCTTTCCTCTCAGGGTTTCTGGAAAGGGAGGCTCTGCCTGAGTCTGACGGGTGCCCCGGGCCCAGAAGAAAAGTTGGGCAAGAAGGATAAAGATGCTTCTATGTTGAGCAGTTACCGTGCGCTAATCATTAAGTCTGCATTGTCCCTGTTTGGTGAGGAAAAGGTGATGCTGATGCTAATGCTGATGATGTCCCAATTAGAGATGAGAAAACTGGAGGTTCGAGAGAGAAGATAGTAAAGCCAAGGGATCATAGCTGGTAGGGGAAGAGGCTGAGAGTCTGTCTCATGTCAAAACCTGTGGTTTCTCACTTCTAAAGCCTATGGTGTCAGATTCCAGATGCTGGGGATGGGTATAAAGAAAGAATGGGGGCTGAGTCTTCTAGATCTTTCTGTGAGTTGGTTGCCCCTAGGCAAAGAACCAGAGCACTAGGCTGAGAATCAGGAATCTTAATTTTAGTATTGCCTTTGCTACCAACTTGACAAGATGCCCTGGGACACCTCTTGCCCTTTCTGTGCCTCAGTTTTCTTAACATTTAAGTGAGCGACTGGCTGAGACTGTTTCTCCAGGGTCTTTCTAGTTCTGAGCCTCTTGAATTTTGATCCTGGCTGGAACAGAAGGGGGCATGAAGCAACTGGAGGAGGGGCTTGGGGAAAAACTTCAGTGAGGAGCTTGCATTCCTGGCCTTGGAGTCAGGTTTAAATCCAAGCCCCAACACAAGCTGTGTGAGCTTGGGAAGCCTCCATTAAAGACTCATTTTATTACCTAAAATTTTAAACATATAAAAAATAGAAATAAAATGCAGTGGACACCCATATGTCCAATCAGTTGGATTCAATAAGTCTAAATTCCTTACCACACTGACTTCATCTAAATGACTTCACTGGCACAGTGGCTTGTGCCTGTAATCCTGGTGACTTGGGAGGCTGAGGTGAAAGGATTGCTTGAAGTCAGGAGTCTGAGACCAGCCTGGGTAACATAGCGAGATTCCATCTTTACAAAATTTTTTTTTAAAAAGATCCAGGTGTGGTGGTGTGCACCTTTAGTTTTAGCTATTTGGGAGGCTGAGGTGGGAGAATCACTTGAGCCCAGGAATTTGAGGCCACAGTGAACTATGATTGTGCTACTGCACTCCAGCCTGAGTAACAGAGTGAGGCCCTGTCTCTAAGAAACAACAAAACAACCAAAAAGTCCCACAAATAAACTATAGACACCAAGGAACTTTGTCCCTAAATACTTCAGCATTTGTGTCCCAAAAAGAGAACATTCTCCCCATAACCGCAAAAGCACTACTACACCTAACAAAATCAACAATGATTCTCTTATATTATTCATATTAAAATTTCTTCAGTTGTTTCCACTGTATTTTACAGATGGTTTATTACAGCAGGATCCAATCAGAGACCTGGCATTATATTGGTTCATAATGGATCCATTTTTTTTTTTTTCTTTGAGTTAGGGGCTTCACTCTGTTGCCCCGCTTAGAGTGCAGTGGCATGATCAAGATTCACTGCAGTCTTGACCTTCTGTGCTTAGACCATTACCTCCACTTCCCGAGTATCTGCGACTACTGGCACGTGCCACCACATTCGACTACTTTTTAAAAATGTTTTGTAGAGACGGAGTCTATGTTGTCTAGGCTGGCCTTGAAATCCTGGGCTCAAGCAATCCTCCCTCCTTGTCCCCCAAAGTGCTGAGATTACGGGTGTGAACTGCCATGCCCAGCCTTCATTATGAATTTTAAGCCTCTATTTTGCTAATTTGGAAACTGGAAAAAGAATAGTACCTACTTCATAGGGCAAAAGAATTAGAGTTAACATATGAGAAGGGGTTAGGCCAGTGCACCCCAAAATTAAAGTCATTAATTTTAGATCCTATCTGCTCAAGGCAGCAGTGTGGTGGTGCATAGACAGCTGGGTGCAGCAGAGTGTCCCGAGGTGTCAGCAGCACATTCTAGGAACACAGAGGTAAGGGATCCCAGCATCCTCAGGGACACAGGCTGTGATGCTGGGTTTTGCTCTGCCCAGGCCAGAGGATAGAGGAGCCCAGTCTCACCTTGACCACTTTCAGCACCTGCACCTTCTGGTCCAGCTCATGCTCCCCCTGGAATGTCTTCTGCCTCAGAAACTGCTCCACCGTTCGTACAGTGTCCAGCACATCTTCCTTCCACTTCCGGTGGGGCTGCAGACACTGAGCCACAAAGGAGTCTAGTCTGGAGGCTGGCGTGCTGTATAGATCCTGTGTCAATGCCATCTCTGTCCTCAGAATACAATGGTGGACAGATATACAGCCACCCAGTTCTGAGCACACACCTCTCTTTTAAGGGGGCTCCTCCTCAGCTGACCTCAGCACCCCTGGGGTAAAGCTTCGAAGTAGAGAGGAAACCAGGTGTCATGGACTAACTTGGGTTTCCGCTTCTTGGTGGCTCCTCACCGTGGCAGGGAGGCAGAGGGACACTGGCTGAGGCTGGACAGTCTGGAGCCACCTTAACTGGTCTGACATCTAGCCAACCTTTCTGCTGTTGGTTTCGATTCTCAACTTTTAGAGCTTCCCTTTCATGACGTTTGGAAACAGAAATTGGCTAGTGTTCACTCCCAGAGGAGGCACCTTGCCCAGTAGGTTGGAGTTTGGAGTTGGGTTATATCAGTCAATGCAGCTGCCCCAATGAACTTGTCTGAGGAAACTGAGGCTTAGGAGAAGGGACTTGCTCATGGTCAAGGTAAGGAGTGAGAACACCAGAGTCCAATAGAACAGACTTTGAATTTCAGTTTGTCTTTTGCCAGATTCGTAACCTCTCTGACCCTCACGTTCACGATGCAAAAAGTGGGTTTAACAAGTATTATGATTCATTCACTAAACAACTGTTGAGTGCCTGCTAGGTGCTGAACACTGTGCTGAGAAGACAAAATGAGATGAGGTTCTTGTCCCAAGGGGCTCTCAGAACAGCAGGGGAGACAAAAACAGAAACTCTGAGAGTTCAATGCAATGTTTGTTTGGTAGGAAAAAGGGTACAGAAACCTGGTGGGCAGCCAGACGGAGGAATTTCATGAGTGTCAGCAGATGCTTGCTGAGATGTGTGTTAAAGAGTGGAAATCTGGTCAGGAGGACAAAGGCCTGAGAACGGTGAATGATCCTGGTGTGTGCCAGGGACGCAGGTGTCCTGTGTGCCTTGGCATGGAGGATGAGCAGGGGAGAGGCGAGATGTACCTGGACAGGTGTGCAGGGTTGATTCTTGGAGTACCATTCACTCACTCATTCAATAAAAACTTATTATAATAAACAGGATAAATCAATAAAATTATAGTGAATAAGATGGTGGTAAGTGCTAAGCAGGAATATAAAGCAGGGAAAGGGGTTGAGGTCCCGTGTATGTGCCAGGCAGGAGAGGGGTGAGCAGAAGAGTGATATGGTCTGGCTTGTATTTTAATGGGTTCGATCACCCTGGCTGCTGGAGGAAATTAGAAGCCCAAGATGGGATTGGAGGTGAAAGGGGAAACAGGAGTGTGGTTAAGATGCTAATACAATAGTCCAGGCAAGAGACATGGAGGCCTAGATCAGAGTGGTAGCAGTGAAGGAAGGAAGGGGTTGCATGATTTAATTTTTTTCTTTTGAAAAATTTCAAACAAGCAAAAGTGTAATAATACAATGAACCGCCACGTACCATCACCCAGCTCAACAATAATCAACCTATAGACAGTCTTGTTTTTATTATACCCCCATTCATAGCTTCCCTCTTGTATTATTTGGAAGTGAGTACCACACATCGATCATTTCGCTGCATATATTTTGACTATAAGGCTGACAGGTTTTGTTAATGGAAGGAATATCATTTGAGAGAAAGATCAGAGTCAAGTTCTGCTCCAAGGCTTTTGCCCTAGCAACAGAAGGATGGTTTTGTCCTTAACTGAAGTGGGAAAGAGAGGGGCAGGGCACAGTGTGGGTATGAAGATCAGGAACTCAGTTTTGCAATGCAAGTTTGGGATGTCTGTTATAGACACCAGGTAGAGATGTAGAGTGGGGAGTTTGATACATGAACCTGGATTTCAGAGAAGAGGCCTGGGCTTGAGACACAAATCTGGGAGTCACCAGCATAGAGATATGTAAAGCCATGACCCTGGATGAGACCACCAAGACAGTGAGTACTGAGCCAGAAAGGAAAAGCCCTGGGGACTGAGCCCTGAAGCACTCCATGTTATCCAGAGGCTGACATGTTGCAGGAGTCCAGCAAAAAATGAGTGAGAAGGAGTAGCCAGTGAGGTGGAAGAGAAGTCAGGAGTGAAGTTTTGACAGCCAAGTGAAGATTTTTTTTTTTAAGAGCCAGAAAGTGATCCACTGGATTGAATACCAGGCAAACTTGCTCTCTGTGCCAAGAGCAGTGGCAAATCAGGGGAGTGGTGCATGGTGCAGTTGGACTCCAGAAAGATTCTGCTTCTGTGATGAGGCTGGATTGCAGAGGGCAAGAGGAGGTGCGGGGAGATGGGTCAGGTCACTGTGCCGTGGCCCAGGTGATGGGGAGTGGTGGACTGGATGAGGCAGGAAGCAGTGGAGGTGGAGAGGAAGGGTTGAGTTCCGTTTTGGAGGAAGGGTGGGCAGGACTTGGTGAACATAGGCAGGAGGTAAGGGACATGGAGAAGACAGGAATGGCTCATAGATTTTTGGCCTGGGGCCTTGAATAATGGGGGAGGCACTATTAACAAAGAAAGAAGGAGGAGTGGGTGTGGGTGTGGTGAGATGTAGGATCCATCTTTGGATGATGACTTGGATGTATCCATGGATGATAAAGCAAGTGAACTGCTCCATGTGAAGACAAATTTGACTTTCCTCCGCACACATGTGGTCACTGATACCTGGGGAAAGATGATTCATACCAATATTGATTGATGATTGATTGATCAGTTTTGAGATGAAGTGTCACTCTGTCACTCAGGTGGGAGTGCAGTGGTGTAATTATGGCTCATGGTAGCCTCACTGCAGCCTCAAACTCTGGGCTCAAGCCATCCTCCTGCTTCAACCTCTCAAGTAGCTGGGATTACTGGTGTGTGTCACTATGCCTGGCCAAGCCCACAATTGATCAGAGGAAGAGAAATTCAGGCAATATTAGGCAGGTGGCCAAAGAGGTAGGGACAAAGCCAGAGAGCATTAAAGTCATCCACATTACCTAATGCTTCTGTGAAGTAAAGAAATATAGGTCTGAGAAGTATCCAGAAAGACACCAGTGACCAAGATGGGTGCAGTTTTAGGGGAGAGGTGGGGGCAGAAGACAGATTATGGCAGGTTGAGGAACAAGTGGAGCAAGGGGCATGGAGACCAGGAGTGTGGTAACCCTTTCAAGAAGTTTGTCAATCACGACATAGTCCAATTCAAATTTTCGAGCCAGCTAACCCCAAATAGAAAGCATTACCTTTTAAAATTACATTCATCCTACATAAATTTGTCCCATTTCCAATGTTTGATGGTACTCGGCTCTGAATCAATACCATTATGATAGCTTAAAGTGCAGTGGCAAGTCTGCAAAGCTAAGTCAACAATACAGTAGACTCCAAACCTTTGTCACGTTTATGATGACTAACAATGGACTTCAAGGCAATATGAAAGTTATCCAGACAATAAACCTTCCATAGGTTTTTATTCACCTTTGTGAAATCTCTGAGAGTTAAGCAGCTTTCAATTACTTGATCACTAATACGTTGGATGACATTTGAAGATTTTAAAAGGGAACAGAGTCAGTAATGTGTTGGTTTTATGGTTTGTCAGAACACCACCTGTTGAGCACGCATCTATAGGGAGGGAGAAGAGCCAGTGGATAGGAAGGGAGTGAGCTAGGTTTTGGGCAGCAGGAAGAATCAGAGATGGGTGTTATCTTAGCTTGGATTCCTGAAATGTAGAGCATGAGACAGGGTGTGCATGCAGGTGGTTTGCTCTGGGCAATGATTTCAAGGGACAAGTGCGGGTGGTTGGGAGGAAAAGAAGGCCAATCCATGGAATATTCTTAAATTGGTAACTATTGTGGGCAACTGGGGCCCCTCTGAGGAGCTGTGTAGAATATGCTTTAAAATTATCCGCTTGGGAGGTGAAAGAGACACGGATTCCTCTCTTCCCAGGAGTTAAGGGTTAACCCATGGGGGACATTAACTCCCTTGAACTTTCGATTTGCTCATGCATCATAATGGTTAAATGAGGACCCATATGCCTTTTATGAGGCAGCAGAGAATGCTGTGTTTATAAGTGGGGTCATATTCCCTTGTCACACGGAAAGAGAGTATGGAAGAAAATGGATAACAATGGACAAAACAATGCTCTTAAATTCTTTCAATCCCTGCAAGCATATGCCTCTGTAATGCTGACTTTGCAGTTCCTTCTTTCAAGAAGTGGAGTATATTTCTCTGTCCCTTGAATCAGGGCTTGGACATGGGGCTTGTTTTGACCAATGAGACATTCGCAAATGTGATGCAAGCAGAGGTCTAAAAAATGGGTGCCTATCAGGACCTGCTTCTACTCTTGCTATTTTCAGAACCCAGTAACCACATGCACAAGCTCAGATCAGTCTGTTGGATAGCAGGAGGCACACAGTTAAGACATTCTTACATTCCCAACTGATGTTGAGCCGATTGCCAGACATAGAAGTGGCTGGTGTAGATCTCCAGCTTCAGATGAGCCAGATCAGACCAGAAAAACTGCTCAGCCAACTCATAGAATTATTGAGCAAATAAATAGCTGTTGTGGGATGGATCATTATGTAGTCTCAACTAAGTGACACCCTCTGGCGTCATCTGGACTCTTAGGTCCTTGTGAGTTTAATTTTAGATGTCAGGACACTCAGATTGTAGTCAAAACATTGCTTCTGGGTGTGTCTGTAAGGGCATTTCCAGAGGAGATTAGCTTCAGAATCATCAGTAGACTAAATAATGAAGATCTGGCCTTAACAGCGTGGGTGGGCATCCCCCATTGAGGGACTAGACAGAACAGAATACAAAGAAAGAGAGAATTCATGTCCTCTTCTGGATCTGCGGCATTCGTCTTCTCCTATTGTCAGACATCAGAATTCCAGAATCTCGACTTTTCAGGCTCTAGAACTTATACCACTATGCCCCCCTCTGGTTTTCCAGCTTGCAGACAACATATCTATTGGGGTGTCTACTAAGACGGCAGTCTCCAACCTTTTTGGCATTAGGGACCAGTTTTGTGGAAGACAAATTTTCCATGGATGAGGGTTGGGGGTACAGGTGGGGCAATCATGATACTACATTAGATTCTC